AGCGATTTCCACGATTGACGATTCCCGGGATGTGTCTATGTGTCCGTCGTCAACACTCACAATTTTGGCCAATGCTGACCCGTTTCGTGAAGTATTACTCATCGTTTTTGGGTCCCGAAGCGATTTTCATAGTCGTTGAACCCCAAGGTGCGTTTGCGTGTCAGTCATCAACACTCGCAATTTTGCCCGATTCTGGCCCGTTTCGTGAACTATTACTCACTGTTTTGGGGTCCCGGAGTGATTTCCACGATTGACGAACCCTATGGTGTATTTACATGTCGGTCATCAAGACTCGCGGTTTTTGTCGATTCTGACCCGTTTCGTGGACTATTACTCACTATTTTAGGGTCTCAAAGCAATTTTCATGGCTGTTGAACCCCAAGGTGTGCTCATGTGTCGGTCATCAATAATCGCAATTTTGACCGATTCTGGCCCGTTTCGTGGACTATTACTCAGTTTTGGGATCCCGAAGTGATTTACACGATTGACGAACATCCGCGTGCATTTATGTGTCGGTCATCAACACTCGCAGTTTTGGTCGATTGTTGCTTTTTTCTTGGACTATTACTCAATTTTGGGGTCCCAGAGTGATTTCCGCAATTGACGAACTCCGGGGTGTGTTTACGTGTCGATTATCAACACTCATAATGTTGGCCAATTCTAGTCCGTTTTGTGCACTATTAGTCACCGTTTTGGGGTCCTAGAGTGATTTCCACGATTGATGATCCCTGGGGTGCCTTTACGTGTCGGTCATCAACACTCGCAGTTTTGGCCGATTATGCCCCGTTTCATGGAGTATTACTCATTGTTTTAGGGTCCAGAGCGATTTCCATGATTGACGTACCCCGGGGTGCATTTACGTGTCGTTCACCAGCAATTCTAGTTTTGTTCGATTATGGGCTCTTTCATGGACTATTACTCACCGTTTTGGGGCCCCAGAGCTTTTTCCACGATTGACGATCCCCGGGGTGCGTTTACGTGTCCGTCGTCAACACTCGTAATTTTGGCCGATTCTGGCCCGTTTCGTGGACTATTACTCACTGTTTTAGGGTCCCAAAGCAATTTTCATGGCTGTTGAACCCCAAGGTGTGCTCATGTTTCGGTCAACAACAATCGCAATTTTGGCCAATTCTGGCCCGTTTCGTGGACTATTACTCAGTTTTGGGATCCCGAAGTGATTTACACGATTGACGAACATCCAGGTGCATTTATGTGTCGGTCATCAACACTCGCAGTTTTGATCGACTCTTGCTTTTTTCTTGGACTATTACTCAATTTGGGGTCCCAGAGTGATTTCCGCAATTGACGAACTCCGGGGTGTGTTTACGTGTCGGTTATCAACACTCATAATGTTGGCCAATTCTAGTCCGTTTTGTGCACTATTAGTCACCGTTTTGGGGTCCTAGAGTGATTTCCACGATTGATGATCCCTGGAGTGCCTTTATGTGTCGGTCATCAACACTCGCAGTTTTGGCCGATTATGCCCCGTTTCATGGAGTATTACTCATTGTTTTAGGGTCCAGAGCGATTTCCATGATTGATGTACCCCGGGGTGCATTTACGTGTCGTTCACCAGCAATTCTAGTTTTGTTCGATTCTGGGCTCTTTCATGGACTATTACTCACCGTTTTGGGGCCCCAGAGCTTTTTCCACGATTGACGATCACCGGGGTGCGTTTACGTGTCCGTCGTCAACACTCGTAATTTTGGCCGATTCTGGCCCGTTTCGTGGACTATTACTCACCGTTTTGGGGGTCCCAAAGCGATTTCCATGGTTGTCGAACCCCAAGGTGCACTTATGTGTCAGTCATAAACAATCACAGTTTGGGCCGATTCTGGCCCATTTCATGGACTATTACTCAGTTTTGGGGTCCTAGAGTGATTTCCATGACTGACGAACCCCGGGGTGCGTTTAAGTGTCGGTCATCAACACTCACAATTTTGGCTGATTCTGTTTCGTTTCGTGCACTGTTACTCACCGTTTTGGGGTCCCAGAGTGATTTCCATGATTGAAGATCCCCGGGATGCCTTTACGTGTCCGTCGTCAACACTCATAGTTTTGGCCAATTCTGACCCATTTCATACTTACCGTTTTGGGGTCCCGGCGATTTCCATAGTTGTTGAACCCTGTTGGGGATATAATTATTGGGTATGACCCACCCAGGAGGGCCCGGGTCATACCACTGGCGGTTCGTAGTGACAAGGCCCATGAAGACGTTGAATATGGTGGTTCACGAAGCAGGCTTACTGAAGGCCCAAGACCCAAAGGCGACTTGAGGCCCACGGGCGTAAACCGCCATATGTTAACTTGTATGTTAAGGAAATTATAGATTCTATCACCGAGCCAGATGATGAAGCCATAAACCTAGGGTAGGGTCATGGACCTGTCCAGGGTACCCTCCCCAAGGTCATCTCTAGAAGAAGCTGTCTTTCAGCCGACCTGGAAGAATTCCACTCGACGGACTCGAAGACAGTCGACCATGAAGACTCACTCGACCACCAGGAGATCTAAGATCACTCCACATCCAAACGGTCTGTTATTAAGTAGTCTTTATGGCCATGATATCACTTTATGTAAGATGTTACCAGTAACGCCAAGTCTTTATGTACATTGAACCCTCCTCTACGTGGGCTGGCTGGGGTCCTGGCGCACTGTATATAAGTTATAAACCGAGAGGTGAATATGGCTGCTCCGGCAACGCCCAATTATCTGAAGTGGTCTCAAACCACCATTACATTCGACTAGTCTGATCACCCGACGCACATAGCCACCCCTGGGAGGCAGGCTCTGGTGGCCAACCCAGTCGTTGAAGGTACTCGACTGACCAAAGTACTGATGGATGGCGGTAGTAGTTTGAACATACTATATGCAGAGACACTGGAGGG